GGTGACTTTGTTTCTTCAGTAGAACACAAACGAAGATTTTTTACTCAAACCGTTGCAGTCTGTCAGTCATATAATGGAAGTGAATAGGAATCACGGCTTTGAGAGTAAAAAAAAACATACACAAACAAAACCAAATTAAACTCTGCGGCTCGTAACGATACATTGATGTGTAAACACGAAATGATCAGTCTGTGCAAGAAACTGAACAGTATTTATATAGTTTTTTACCTCTGATTCACCGCAATGTCTGAACTGTCCTGAGCACGTTCTCAGACGGGTCTTCTTCTTCTTGCTTTACGGCGGATCGCAGACTTATAAGTGCATTACCACCACCTATCTCTCAAATGGACCATTGACACTCTATCTACAATCTCAATTAGGAGTGTCAATGGTCCATATGCGAGATAGGTGGCAGTAATGCACTTATAAGTCTGCGATCCGCTGTAAAGCAAGAAGAAGAAGAAGAAGAAGAAGATGTGCTCAGGATGCGCTTAGGACAGTTCGGACATTGCAGTAAATCAGAGGTAAAAAACTATATAAATACTGTTCAGTTTCGTGTATTTACACATCAATGTATCGTCACGAGCCGCAGGGTTTAATTTGGTTTTGTTTGTGTATGTTTTTCTGACTCTCGAAGCCGTGATTCCCATTCACCTCCATTATATGACTGGCAGACTGCAACGGTTTGAGTTCAAAATCATCATATGTGTTCTACTGAAGAAACAAAGTCACCTACATCTTGGATGCCCTGGGGGTAAGCAGATAAACATCACATTCTCATTTTTGGGTGAACTATATTAATTATATTAAATTATAAAAAAATGTGTATACAGTTAAGATTAATAAGAATTTAGGATTAAAAAGAAATGTTTTTGAGCAGCAAATCAGCATATTAGAATGATTTCTGAAGGATCATGTGACACTGAAGACTGGAGTAATGATGCTGAAAATACAGCTTTGCCATCAAAGGACCAAAATACATTTTAAAATATAGTTTTTCTTTAAAATTGTACTTATTTCACATTAGTACTGTTTTTATTGTATTCTTGATTAGATAAATGCAGCATTTGTGAGCATAAAGATCCTCGTTCTGTTTACGATATTTTCAAAATAAATATGAGGGATGAAAATGTCAATGAAATTTTTTTTTCCTCCACAGGTGTTCAAGAGGAGGTATTTCTACCTGTCTCAGCTCCCCGATGGTTCTTACATACTGAATTCATACAAAGATGAGAAAAACTACAAAGAATCAAAAGGCTCCATCTATCTGGACTCCTGTATTGATGTAGTTCCGGTACATAATGTAACTTTTTCATTTTTGCTTGGCTGTCATGTGATCAAAATGTACAAAGGTTTACAGGGCTTGATGAACAGTGTTTAATTTTAATAGTCAGAAAGTATGTAAAATGCTCTTATAAAGCTTTTCTTTGTTGCTAGAAATGAGCATTATAAATGATGAAGTGATGTTTTGTTTTACATCTTGGAAGTATCTGAATATGTAAATATCTGAAGTTGCTTTGATACGTTTTTCAGGAAGTTTTACAACAGCACGTAGCAGCCCTCAGGCTCTGTATCACAACCAGAGGAATCTTCCTTGACGAACACCCATTATTATTATAACCACAAACAGCTCTTAAAGTCACCATTAAATTCCTCCACCGACTGACGCAGCACATTTCTTGCAGTGTCCTAAGATGAAGCGCAATGGCTTTGAGCTGAAGATGCAGGAAGGTAACAGTCACTATCTGGCGGCAGACAGCGAGGCCGAGATGGAGGAGTGGGTAAACACGCTGAAACAGACCTTACTGAGCGCGATGGATGACAGGAGGAACGGATCAGAACCTTCTGAAGGGTCTCTGGGTAAATAACACACCCCCCATTAACACATGTGAAGATGCTTCAGACTTTCTTTATAAAATAAACTTTACTGGTTTGGAACATCATGAGTTTTGAACTATCCTTTTAAGCATTTCAATTGTGTGAGCACCATCATCACTTTAATGATGTAACTTATTGCATCATCATCAAAGAAGACATGATGTCACTCCCAAAATACCAACAATGAGCAGTTTTTAATTGGCTGTTCTCCCTGATTCCCATTCCTCTGGGAACAAATACCGCCCTCTTATTAATGAAAATATCCGAACGATCCCCCCACTTAACCAAATGACGAGCATTTTGGCAACATAGGCAAATTTTGGTATGTGCTGCTTCCTGAAAAGATGCATAGTTCCCTTTCTGCCTCTTCCAAATTGTTTTTATATTGGGGCCTTTTTGAAACCTATTGAACTTGATGTTTTCTCTGTATTCAAATAAGGCCAGCTGAATAATAATAATAGTATTAGTACAGTTTCTGCTGTTTTATTATAGGAGGCAGTCGTTTGGACTTGGAGTAAATATTCTCGTGTTGAAAGATTACTGAAATGTTCGGGAGGCTGTATTTATATAGAGGAGCTGTGAAGGGAATGCTACTTTTGGCCTGTTCAGTAAAGACACTGATAAACAACTCCCTGTGCTTCTGTGGTATAACCTTTTTGGTCAATAGTGGCGTTTGTTTTTAAGACCTTCCATGTGCTGGTCATGAGGAAATGAAATTATGTTTTCAATCTCTAGCTTCTCGTTTTTGGAATAACTAATATACAGAATTCAGATCTGTGTTGAAAGGCATTTGTTTTGTTTATTGTAAGTCTAGATAGTATACCAAGCACTTTCCATGAATGGTGTACAAAATAGAGTCTGTAATATTTTAAAGTTTTTTTTCTTTTTCAGCAACGAAAGGTGCTTCAGAAAATGCATTTGAAAGGATTGCATGAATTAAATGTGGGCTAACATATTTTTTGTCATTAAAATAAGCTAATAATTGAAAACAGTAATGCAGTGAATTGATTATCGATTAAACCGATTATACTAACATTATACGTTGTTGATTTGATCTTAATTGCAGGATTTAGGCCAAAATCACCATTTTAACAAGAGGAGAGAGACAGATATTTTGTGTCCTGTGTTAGATAATAGTTTTTCAAATCTGTATAATGGAATAAAACCAGACCAGTGTGTAACCTCTTTATGGAAAGTGACAGTATAAGAACCAAGCAGCCATTTAAAAATCTTCCACCTCACAGTGTGGAGATAAATCTTGTAGCAACCCACCTTCTCTAGTGGCTACATGAATAAATGAGGCCAGCTGATTTCCCAGAAAGCTCCACCTAGTGTCCCAGATTTGACACCATTAAACACACACACACACATTACAGTTAATGGTACTGCTTTCTGTTCCAGTGGAGCAGTTTAGAAACTCATTTTACTTTCAAATATATCCAACACCTTGATCAGCAAATATAAGATTTTGTCTGTTACTTTTTAGTACCAGTCAGCCGAGGCTAAAGACTGTTTTCATTGTTCTGCTTGGTGTCGGAGATAAGCCCATATTCACACACTACATAATGATAAAACGCTTTGTCTGTTATGCATGCATCTTCAGTTAGAATTAATCAGTTTGCCTTTTGATGAACAAGCGTCTCATCCAAACAGATGACGACAGCAGTAGTCAGGGGAAACCAGAGAACATTGCGGAGAGCTTTGGCCGGAGTCTTCATCCAGAGCTAATGAAGGTACTTGATACAAAATAATTACAATGCTATCTGTAGTGGTTTGAACACTTCTTTGTGCATTTTAAGTGGCTGAGTTCAGAATACTGGAATATTGTCTATTGCATAATGTGCTGTATATACTGCTGACTGTTTAGTACTCAAAAATAATATGCTGTAATACACAAAACAGAAGCATGCTTTATTGTTGTCACGTGATCTCATCGTGTTGCATTGTTTAATTCAGTGGCGTCACAGAAATGAATATTATTTTGCATTTATAGTCCACTAATTTGCTTAAATATCTTAAATTATGACGGGTCAGTTAAAAAGAAAAAAGTCAAGAAAGAGATATTAAAAATTGCGGTTGATTTTGCTTCTGGTTTATTTATTGTACTACAAATGGAAGGTCGAATTGATTTCAATGAATTGTGGGACAAAGTATATTAACGCATAAATGAAGATTCGCTAAAAATGTAATCACCCTCAGGTCCATCCAAGATGTAGATGAGTTTGTTTATTCATTGGAACAGAAATGTATTTATTCATCAATGGATCAAGTGAATGGGTGCCGTCAGAATGAGAGTCCAAACAGCTGATAAAAACATCACAATAATCCACAAGTAATCCACACAACTCCAGTACATCAATTAATGTCTTGTGAAGTTAAAAGCTGCATGTTAAGAAACAAGTCCATCATTAAGGTGCTTTAACTTTAAACTGTCGCTTCTGGCCAAAATATGAGTCCATAATCTGTAATAACGCTTCCTCCAGTTCCATCCCCGGTTTTCCAGAACAGTTTTGGACCATTTTCACTTGTAAACAGTGCTTGATCTATACATATTTCTCTCATGATTCAGATTAGATTACATTTTTTTCTGGAGAAGGCAGTATTATGGATACAGTACTCATATTTTTAGCTGGAAGCAACGGTTTGAAGTTAAAAACAGACACGCAGCTTTTCACTTCACAAGACATTAATTGATGGACTGGAGTCATGTGGGTTACTTGTGAATTATAGTAATGTTTTTTATCAGCTGTTTGGACTCTCATTCTGACGGCACCCATTCACTCCAGAGGATCCATTGGAAAGCAAGTTATGTAATGCTAAATTTATCCAAATCTGTTCCGATGAAGAAACAAATGCATTTATATCTTGGGTAGCTTTCAATTTTGAGTGAACTATTATTTAAGCACTGTGCTCTTTTCTCTATATCACATTTTGGTGAATTTTGTTATTGTTTATTTATATGTTTTTAAAAATGCAAACAGTATTTTGTCCTGTTATCTCCAGTATGCCAGAGAAACCGACCAGCTGAATAAAATGAGCAGGAATGAAGGTCGACAGAAGATCTTCACCCTGGATCCTGAGACGCAGGTTAGTCCCATTATGTCCAATGTACAGCTATTAGAAAGACAGTCTTTCTTTGCCTGTGTGAAAATGAATGAATGATATCTCTCTATTCCTCTTCAGAGATTGGATTTTTCAGGCATCGAGCCTGACGTGAAGCCATTTGAAGAGCGATTTGGACGAAGAATCATGGTTAGCTGTCACGACTTGTCCTTTAGCCTTCAAGGATGTGTCAGTGAGAAGAATGATGCCATCTTAACCAATGTGAGTAAGCCCTAATCTATGAGTTTCATCTTGTTTGCCAGTGTCACTTTTTCTTGATCCTGTTGGTCCTGTTTTGTGATGCTACCAATGCTACTGTAATGTTGATCTTAGACACATGAGAATGTTTAGTCTATGAAAAATCATGATCGATATTGGCCAATGCAGTATATCCCTATTGTTTTCTAAGCACAATCATAATTATACCATTGGGCTCTGTTACCCTGGTGGGACTACGCCATTCATATTTGTCCTCTGTAGATGTAAGTTGTTTTTGTGAATTTCTTCATATATAGAAAGAGTCCTGGTATATCTTAAAAAGGATATCCTGTACTTGAGTTTGTGGCTTTGGCCATGACAACTTCCTCCTCTTGGTTTTTAAATATGTCTGACATCACAGTTATAGAAAGAAGAATAGTAAGCATATTATTTTAAATCATCATTTGCATGTATCTGATTTAAAAAAGAAAAAAAAAGTATTTATTTTCAACCTATTAGAGTAAAACTCTTTATATTAAAAGATGAATAAAGAATAACAACAATAATAATTATTATTTTTATTTGTTAAATATGCAAAGTTGAAAATATGGTTTGCTATAGTCAATTAAATAATAAAATAGTAGTAGTAATAATAATAATAATAATAATAATAAAAATTGCTGAACTGCTCATTTAAATGCATATTTATGTATACTGGTGTACATACAAAAAAAAACAAACAAATTATAATCTAAATTTGAAATATAACCTTTTTTAACATTTTAAAATATCAGTGTTAAAGACAAACACACTGTAGTTCAAAACCTAAAAATTGATTTGTAAATTAAAAATATATTTTTAGCTATAGTATAGTCCTGCCTTTTCCTAGTCCTAATGCCCTGGATATGTGATAAAAAAAGAAAAGTAACTGACCCTCTAACACTAGAGTTCTCTAATCTCTATATCTGCATGTTTTCTTTTTGTTTATTATAAAAAAAAAACTTGTTACACGTACTGCATTAGACTAACTGGGACTCGTCACAGCACTTATATGTTATTGCTCTTTTGTTGGTTTGATTGCTACTATTGTCCTCATTTGTAAGTCGATAAAAGTGTCTGCTAAATATAAATGTAAAGTATGTATTTTTAAAACCATATGTTTTTAAGCTACAAACACTAATCACATGAAAACCCTGAATTCCCTTTTTTAGGCCCCAGGTTAAATAATAAATGTCAATTATTTGAGCTATTCTCTAGCTTAGACTGTCAGAGAACAGCAGTTATAGGTCATTATAGTTGAATATCATAGAGCTCCTCTAATGAGAGATGAATTAGAGATTGTTGGCATGAGGACAGAGGATAGTGATGAATATGGTTATGCTCAGTGAAGCATTTTCAATGGCTCCAGGGAAGGAATGCTGGCGCTCATCAGCAGGGTTTGGAAAGCTGCTGCTTCCTCAGAACACATTGACTTTCCCACACTTTGTTAAATTATCTAAAGTGACTGATGTGAATGGAGTAAAATTACATACAGAGGTGTGATTACATAAATACATCTTTTGCTTGAATCTGATTTGCTGTCATTAAATTATATAATCTTTATCAATAACAAACTATATGATCCTCACAGCATGCTCGGGCAGATTGCTTGCTTAAATCAAAATGACAAGAGTAAAGATGTCAAATACGGTGTAATAACTCATCAGCCTCATTCATTCCACACTTTTTGTTTTCTCCTTAGGTAGAGCCGTTCTTCATCAGCCTAGCGTTGTTTGATCTGTCCAAAGGTTGCAAGATCTCTGCAGACTTTCATGTTGACCTCAATCCACCCTGCGTGAGGGAAATGCTTCAAGAAGCTTCTCCGGGGACACCAACAGAACCAGAAGGAGGATATGGATATGAAACAGTCAGGGTAAACGGGCACGGTCTGCCAGTTCTCCAGAGGGTCGCGGAGTCTCTTATACGCTTCCCCACTCAGGTAAAAGCTCATCATACTGAAACGGTTACAATTTCTACTTTCTAGAGGTGTTATAGTCTCTGAAATCAATTAATAAAAGTCTTTGCTGAAAGAAAATGCTGTTCTTCCAATAGTGTCACAATAGTGATGAAATTATCTTATAGAAAGACTTTTATAATAAAAATATAATAATCAGGAGAATCCATTTCCGAGCAGGGTTATTATAGTTAACTAAAACCAAAACATACAACATTACAAACTAGAATAAAAAGAGAAAATGTAATAAAAAAAATGAAATATTAATTAAAGCTATAATAGTATCTCAAGCATACTAAAATAGCACTGCCACCATTGGTCACTAGAAGTGGCTCCTTTCCTTAAAGGAAGTAAATGGGATTTTTTTGCCTGTTTTATGGTCCACCAGGTGAAAAATCCTAAGCTAATCAAGAGAGAGCTTTCTGTTCTTTAGTGTGTGACAGATTTATCCTGGTCACCTTTTAAAATCTGCACATTGCTGAATATTTCTGCAAATGACTGGCAACCCTCCCAAGTAAGCATTGTCCAGCACTGCTGAATAAGAAGGATGCTTCTGCTGTGCTTCTGATGGGGAAGTCAATGTGGTTTCAGAATTTTGCACATTCATGCAGTTTGCAGGGCTGCAGGTGGCTGAATATAGTTATTGTTCGGCTGACTTGCGTCATTTTCACTTGTCATTGTATTTCTGCCTTCTGTTGAAAGCCTGTGACCATTTTGCAATAACAGCCACATGTACAATCATGTGCAAGTGAACGTTCACGCCTCATTAGCACTACGTTTAATGCAACTGAAGACACGTTTTTGCTTCATTATTTATCTGTCACCTTTTGCAGGCCTGATGCCTTATAATGCAGGATGATACGGAGAGCTCTGCTAAATAAATGCATCTTTTTATCTCTGGTATTGAAGTTTTCCAATTTTAAATCATGGATTGTTGTATTTAACTAATCTTCTCAAGGCTTACTTATCTGTGTGTTTGAACTTGCTGTTCTGTACAAGGCATGTTGCCAGGGCAGAGACGGCTTTAGGTTTAACACAGCTCTGTTTCATAGCACTAACTCTATGAACTAAATCAAAGCCAGTGCCATGACGGTCTCAAGTCTCTGCTGGCAGCCTGGGAAACATGACATGGCTTTACTGGAACTGACATGAAGTAGAGATGGCTGGACGTGTTTGAGAGACAAACAGACACTACAACTAGTACAATGGCTTGAACAATGTATTGCAGTTTAGTTTATGATTTAGATTTCTTTTGATGATGAAATGGTACACTGTAAAATTTAATTAGTTGGGCTTACTTAAAAAAAAAAAAAAAAAAAGACTGCAAACCAATTGGGTTTAAAAACACAAAAAAAAGAAAA